CTAACCCTTTTAACCACGGCGCCAGCTACTTCAACATTAAACACCTCTGTATTTATGTATGTACTGGACCATTTTATCTACTTACGAATATCATATCTCGTGATTAGGCAGTTACACGCTTCGCACTGTGTGGTCACGTGCGGAAGATGCCCTCCACTTCATACAATCTAGCAGTTCCACGAAAACAATTCTGCTGCTGAGTTAACGACATGTTGGCGGAACTTGTTCCAAAATGGTTATTTTAACACGTGCAGAAGTGCGTCACGGGTGTTTATGAGGGTGCAGAAGACCGGGACAGGGGTGAGAACATCTGTAATGTCTGTTTTCTGGCATTTGTTGTTGCGCGTCTGCAACAGAGCGTGGCAATAATGTCTCTTAAACTCGAGCTACCTGCATGTACAGCTGATCACAAAACTGTCATTTTTCACAATTAAAAAACGGTTTTATTGAATGACTACAAAAGATATGCCCCTTCCACCCGAGTTTCTCTTAAAATAACATAATTCCATTGAACTAATATACGCTCAGTCAACAACTTTCTATGCATTTATAAAATCTGAACGTCCATTGCCGTGTTAACAAAATTACCCCACCGATCCTTATCCTGATCCACATGAATCCATTCCACGTCCTTAAACCCTGTATCCCCAAGACATAATTCAAAAACTAATAGTATCCTACCATCTACGTCTAGGTCTTCTGAGTACTTTCCCTGGCCTTTTGTCACTTCATCCCTCTTAGGTTTAAATATTCTCCTAACTACCCTGTTCTCACACATCCTCCATCTGTCTTCTTCCTTTAACGTAAGATAAGATGAAGTAAAGAACGCAATTAAGAATTCGAAAGACAGGAAGGCGGTAGGCTAGATGAAATACCAGTAGAAATTCTTAAACTAATTGAAGACGACAATATACATCTCCTAGTAGGCTTATATAATACCATCTACACCAATGGAAGTATGGTTAAAATCAGCTTCCATTTTTTCAAACGCATAATTAAGCCGAAATGTTGGAATCCGACTTGTCAGTTTGTGGTTACGGACAGGTCAGTGTCATGTCACGGTCACAACAAAATCAGTCCGTGGGTTTTCCGAATAGCGGCCTTTAAATATTTCAAGGTCATTCGAAATTCATTTTTCCAAACGCATATTTCTGCCGATATGACATGGTCACTGCAATGTCTGTCAGTGCGTTAGATTTGCAACAACGGCTCTGCGCACGCCGTCGAGCCCACCTACTCGCTGGGGCTTCAGCGTAACGGTCCACTAATTTTAAAATATAGAATAACATCATACCTTCAGTGTAATAGCAACAACTCACCTCAAAATTGTAACAAACTCTTAAAACATCGTGCATATAACAATTGTTGGAAATTAAAACGAATCAAAGTCACAAATTGTCAGAAAAACCCTTTTACATCTACTGCGCTAAAAAAATCGACTCACCCCGCTTATAGGCCCATCCAGTGCAGACGTGTTTGATTTATTTGTTGTTAAAACTTAAACCAAAATCTAGTAGTAAAATAACGTAAGTCCACGACTTCTGTCGTAATCTGGACCGCGTTCAATTAATAATTGCATCACTCGAATTGTGAAGCTGTTAAATTCAATTAATTAATGTTAGGTTCCACAAGCTTTTGGTTACTCAAATGAGTATTCATGGAGACAATATGATGGAGTATATTATTGATTTTAATGCCACCTGCAGGTTTATGTTGTCAGAATCGTTTCGATATTTCAGCTAATTAATTAATTGTCAGAATAATACAATTACTTCATGTCATGTTTGATGCAAAGTATAGGTACATAATAATCTGCACTGTACTACAATAGATATTTTTCATGTTCAGAACAAGGAATAATTTCGCAAACGTTGAAAATAATTTCCTCTAATTTATATAAAACATCGTAGATTATTATTACTCTGCTTTGCTTAGAAGCGAATTAAACTGTGATGAAATCAAAGCGTTTACATTTTAAAGCATTATAAAATTATATAAACAAAAAATATAGTGTTACTTGTAGTAAGCACGATCCCTCTAAACTTTAGGACAGTCTTAAATTATGTAGGTCTAATCGCAGTTTCGATATGATAAATTATTTTTTTTTTAAATTGAAATGCAGGAATTGGACACCTTTTTACTTAAGCTAACTTTAAGCTTCACAAGCTACACAAGTTTTAGATAAGTATCTTTTTCATTTGGCATATATTTAGCTGAATGGTTCTTTGAAACAGTCAATTTAATAAGAGCTTGGCTACTTAATTTCGGAATCTGAACAAGAAAACGTCTCAAATATTTGCATACTGGAGCACCATTATATTTGTTAACCTTTCAGCAATTACCGCTATAGAAATACATATTATTTTTAACGTAAATTCACCATTTAATACCATGATTGTTCAAAACCACGTCAAACCCATACATAGCGCATACATTTCGACTATTTTAATATAAACGCATCGACCATATTTCGGACCATGCAGTTTTACGCATAAATAAATGTAATTATTTATTGATGCTTGTGTTTGTTAATTTTAGTTTTTAGGTCGTTACGAAGCTGTAAAATCAAAATGTGTTTCTGAACTCACAGTACCCTTGACAAATTCACGTTCTACATGAAGCAGCCTGTGAAACGGACGAACCTGGAAACACGTTGAAGGCTGCGTGGACTTAAGCAATTAAACTTGGAAGTTCCACCTGATACACAGTCCTGCAGAGAAAATGGCTGAGTACGTGAACCTTTCCTGCCTATACGAACAGAGTACGTGTAACATAATTCAGATCAAATGCTTACAAATTCAACTACACGAGACACTTTACGATCTTCAAACGTATTTCCACACGGATTATTTAATATTTAATTCCCAGAAATTTTACTAAATAAAATCTAATTACAGCTTTAATTTTATAAAAAATATTCCGTCAAATATGAGCTCCTCTGACATGTATATGTCTAGTGTGGCATTTCTTCATAGGCTAATTATTTTATAGTTTACTGATAAAATTTAAACTTATTTGTAGGGTAATAGAAGTTACAAGAACATATGACATATAGTATTATATATTACCCTTTAATTAAAATATGCCCCCTTCTGAAATATGAACTTTCAAATTGTGTCATTGACAAAATTAATTTATTCCAGATTGGAGCATAATAAAACCACCATCTGCTTTATGAGAATTTTAATCGAACTTCCGAGTTTCGGGACGCTCTTTCAATTGGTCTTTAGTCACTACAAGTCCACTCGACGTCATAATCCAGAACAACTAGTAACAATTTCTTGTGTTAATTTGACAATTTCAAATGTCTTTCTTTATTTATGAAGACTGTAATATTATTTCAGAATATAAGAAAGACCAAATGAAACAGTTGTGCTTAATGTAATTCAATTTCTCGCAGTATCTGTCCACCACGAAGCTCAGTGTACTCGAGAATATTATCAGCATGGCTGTTATAATCAGCGGCACCTCACGGTCTGGCACCCTTATTTAATTATCCTGCTTTCAAAAGACAATTCCCAAGTGACGTATCCACCTCACTCTCCGGTGTCTTTACTCAAGGTTACATCACCATGGATTCCACATTCCCTCTTCTACCAGGCAAGGAATAATGTACGAGTCTCAGACTAAAACGTGTGTTTTAGAAGAGAAGCTGAAATAACAACACCGGATGAAAATAAATTAATTTTTTTATGTAGCTATTTTGCCTGTTTTGAAGTTCAGCCGTATAAATGGCGGTACGAAAAAACCCCCAACAGAATCCTGAAATGGATCCGAGCACGTTTACGTAGGCCTATAGAAACCCAGTTACTAGTCCAAACAAAGTTCACATTTTTCAAAATTTAAAACCGTCATTTGTTACATTAACTTACACTATTTTTTTAATATCGACTGAATAAATTATAGAAAGATATGCATAAGTTATCCGCGGACGAGAACAATTTAAATTGTTCAAATAATCCTATTAGCCAGAATGTTTAATTCATTTTTCCTCATTCACCCCATTTTACGGATTAACGCATGGCATATATTGTTCTTATACTCAGTAGTTTCGTCTGCTATTTCCGCCATTCTTCCACAGGACTCAATTTTCGGCAGTTGCAAAGAGTTTATTATCGCCCGCGCCGGATTTCAATTGCACCAGTTGAATTCCTTCATTAAGGACGTATTTCGTTCCATGTGTAATTGTACCATCATATTAAGACGAGGTGTGGCTGAGTAAGATTAATGACAATGGAGATGGAACATCGCAGCTGTTAAGGACACGCACACAAATTACGCTGATAATGCAGGGAGTAATCATGCACGGGTCGCGTTCCACGTCTCCATACATCGAGATAGCTACCAAGGCATCAGGAGCAGGTAGGCCGTGATTGATCCGTTAATTGTGTCCTTAATATTACAAACTTTGCACACAATCCTGAATATTACAACTGATCCTCTGAAGCAAGCAGGCCAAATAATATTTAAAACTTCAGTTCCTACCTGAAACAAAACAATGCGTATCTACTACAAAGATTAATTTCGAATGACATTTAAGCAAATAAACGCCGATTTTTCCCAAAATCATACGAACACAGAGCCACTAAATGTTAAAAGACGTTGTACACTCAGCGACCACTATGCTCTAAACTGTTAATTTACGTAATATTTTGGTGGGTGTGTTTGAGCTCCCGTTTTTAAACAAAATTTAGACAATTAAACCATGTATTTGTTTCGATACCGTGAAATCACTGAGGAGTCATAAGGTGCACAACGAGGTTTGAGTGATTTTTTTTAAATTTTGTAAGCGTATTTGGTCCCTGCATACAAGATTCTAAACTGTAATTTTATATTATTCTAGCAAAAACAGATTTGTACTAAACAATTTCCTAAAATTAATTTCGAAATATTTACCAAACGCGATGTATTAGCGGCAGATCACTTGCTTTGTGCTTAGAACGTCGGCAGATTTCGCCTATACCTGCAGCCAAATTTCAGGGACTTACTTAACAGGAATAAAAAAAACATGACGTGCTACCTTCCGCTTACCTTTGCTGTTTCTGTCACTGAAACATTAATTTAACTATTGCTATTACTCCTACAAAGCAATCTGTCGACTGAAATCATTTTACCCCTTGATGAAAAATGTGTCAGAGGTGATAGCGGAACTGATTTGGATTGTAATGCCACAGAGCCACTGGTGGATGGATCGATGGACACATGGGCTTGATTGGAAGCTGGTGCAACTTTCCGTAAAAGTGTGAATGGCGAAAAAGAATATATTAATTGCACGTCAGTTCCCATGGTATGTAGAGTAACGTCTGGCGCTTTGGTGATGAATATTGGACAGGTAGATGTTTATCTCTCCATAAAATTGTCCCTTCCAATTCACTGCACTTCCCATTATTCATCGACAAAATATGTAGAATTACATACAAAATGCAAAACAAAACTGATTATCGATTGACCTCCTTCTGTCATAAATTAAGTGCGTAAGTTTAAAAAAAAACAAGTGATGATATAGATTCAACACTGCCCTTATTCTGAATCTGACAGCCACAGTAACAATCATAAGTACGAAAGTACAGATTTATGTCAAAAACATTTTTTTTAAACTTCCAGTAAGTCTGCAAAGAAATACTTTGTTTCTCAACTTTACTTCTCTGACTTCAGAATCTTGCTTGTTCTGTTTTCTGTCGAGTGATGGTCGTCTGGGTTGAGATGACGAGTGGTCTTGCAGGCAGTTAGTAGCGCTTCGGAGGAAAGTATCGCCTCCACATTGAGACCGAATACAATGCGTCACAACTCCAAAGAACACAGTCTCTGTCTTCATCTTCGTGAAACATATCTAAACCTCAGATATGTTTCTTCGTCTCTGGCTCGCATGAAAGATTAAAGTCTCGATAATGTTACACTTAGGTTTGTTTCCAGGTGTCTCACAAATGCAAACATTTTCTTGCATTTCGCTCGTTCTGATTTCTTGACTCACACACATTTTCCACTTGAATGATATGTTTATCATTTCAAAACCTGTGTCTGAAACATTTATATTTTAGACATGATATTACTTACAGCGTCAAAATTATGTGAAGCTGCAGTTCGTGGTGTTCATCTCGTTTTCGGAGTACATCTCTGCATAAGCTGAGGTCCAAGAGGTCTCCGGAGGTCAATAAAACTCACGCCTCGATTAAGAAGTAACGGGTGTGTCTTAGTTAAACACTTTTGGTGGTGTTGGATTGTCAAGATCCTGTGAGGTCTCTCTGATGCATATATGTACCACATCTGATATAAGACCTGCGTTGCTGGAGTGAATAATTTATTTGTATTTGTTGTTTCACTAGCGTTGCAAGTGGAATGAGGGGGAGGATGTGGAATTTGGTTAACATACACTAGTTATATCTGGCAGAAGACCTAACCAAGTATGCGTATAAACTTTGGCTTGCCTTCTGGGATGGTTTTCCTACTAACTCCGTATGGTGTAAACTACATGTGCCCCTCCCCCCTCTTCACTTTGCCACTAGAATTAAATTAGTACATGGAACGAGGAGGATGGTTAAGGCTTCGGTTCGCCTACGAAAGTTGCTTATGTACAGCTCCCCCAAGACCAAATGCAATTGAGGTTTCGGAGTTGACTGATCCTCAGGTTTAGCAAAACTTCTGTCAAGGATGTATTATTTGAAACTTCAGCCAGCTATTAAGGAAACACTGATGAGAATATAAACGGTCTTCAGTTGTCTGTCATCCTGGACACTTGCTGCGGTAAACTACAGCATGTGAAGTTGTGGGCCACCTTACCAAACGCCATTGGCTTTCTTCTTTAACAGTAAAACGTAATATTCATAAATTCGTTTCCTTTCTCACCCATAAACCTGCAGTACATAAAACAGCTATATACTAAATTAAGAATACAAAGAAATTAAAATGAATCCTTACAGGTTGAATGATCACACTTTCGATTTCTGACACGGCAGGGAATTTTATTTAAAATGCCCATCCTGACCCTTATATATTGGATACGTTGGAATCTTCCCCCAGTGCGCAAAGCTCCCAAAGTAGGTACCTGTCTAGTAACAGCCTTCGTTATAAATTCATAATCTTAAATGCGTGGAGTTTTGCATCAACGCCCACATACATCACCACAATTTGTGTTGTGTCTTCGTTTATTTAACGACGCTATATTAAGTTACTGGATGTAGTATAACGTCTGCTAGATGAGTAAAGAAACTTGGATATTATTAATACATGGAAAAATTTGGCTTTCATTTCGACTTATACACTGTTTCAGTGGTTATGATAATCATTAGTCTAAATAAATTTTGTTAATTTTTCGTGTTTGCTTTGATCAGGTTTATCAAAGAAATGGCATGGAAATAATAACATTAGAGTTGACTTAAGACGTAAACTTTAACATATTCTCCAGTAAAATAAATCCTCCTACCTTCGTCTCTCCCTTATGATTCCTTTATCTGTCCTCTCCCAATTTCTTACTTTGTATTTCCCCTTTCGTACCTCCATTTCCCCTTTTCTAAAACATGTCGTAACAGATGAACAACAATGAAAATAAAGCCGTGTTACGATTCCGAACTTATGTGACATCCCACATAACAAAGACTGGCTTGTAGAATAGAAGGTGGACCTCGACTTTTACTACAATGTGACAACAAAGAACCAATCAGAGGCGCGTGCGTTGTCAAAGCGACCGTCCGTCAGCATTGTTTAAGGATGACACGAGATTCACAATAAAGCCCACATCTGCTAATCTGAATCGTTATCAACAGTAGAGTTTCGCTGCTGCTGTTGCCAAAACTGGGCAAACAAACTTTCTGTATCAGTACGTAGATATTTCCAATTGTTGTCAGACCCTTTAAAGTGTTGAGATAAGCCACTGTGAAATCGACATTAACAATAACGTGAGGTCCTTCTACCACATATAATTCTTTATTATGTACAATAGTCGGTGATGACAGTGCCCACGCAATGACATAATGTTTTTAAGGACGATGAAGTTATGCCATTTAGTACAGCGCCTTGAAGGCCCTACGGCGGAATGAAGGTATAGTTTCAGGCATTTTTAACCCGGAAGTGTGTTATGTTGGTATTACTTAGTCTGTGTTTTAATCTTTATCTGTCATTACTTTGCAAAATGGAAATGTTGACAGAAATGTCACATGAAAACAAAAGGGATATAGAACAAATTTGACGGTGATGATGAAAACTATATTAATAAATTAAAATAAGTTTAAGTATACAACAAGAATATTTAGATTTTTAAATTCATTAATTTAGTTTTTACCCTTCGCTTTG